TCATAGGGCAGCCCTGATCTGGCTGCTCCCTGACAGTGCCTCAGCTGGTCTTTGGATGAATCCAGCTAGCATCTTCCCAAATGCAGAAGGAGCAGTGCAGGTTGCTGCTGTAGCTATTCCTTCAGGGGATACTCAAACCACTTTTCACATGATCAGACAACGCTCCCTTCAGCCCTGAGTGTGGCAAACGCTGGGAAACATTTTCGGGTTGAGATGGGAAGAGAGGGCAGCTGTTGCCACTATCCTGACCACACTGACAAGATCCTTGAGGATAACCCACCAGGAATTCTTCTCAGCCGGAAGCACACAAGCGGAGGAGGTGGAGCAGAGTCTGAGCTCACTACCAGAGCTCCCCTCTCTCCAATTAAATTTCAAATAGATAAGAAAGCAGCTGCAGATCCAGCCCAGGGCAATGTGTATTGGCCATATACATCCCTCATTTCACTAGAGAATTCATCAGGTGACCAGGGAGAACAAAAGAAGAGTCCAAGCAGCTCCCTTGCTGCTAGTCCTGCAGAAAGGATGCTGGTTTGACCCTGGATCCTGATCCAAGATGAAATTTGTCATTGACTCATGGGCCCTGCATTTCCTCTTCTATTGTTTGCAAGCCAATTTCAAAGTTGTTTTCGCAGCCCTTTGTGACGTCCCAGTGCAGCTGTGCTAAATTCCAACGTGAAAGCGAAGAAATAAAAGGGAATTGGGATCAGAGTGAACACTGAAGGCTTTTAGAAGAGATTTTCTTCTCAAGAGTGTTGATAGACAGAGAGCCAGACCATCATGGTGGACCCACACAGGGCAGTCCCCTCTGCAGCTGTGCTGGGGACAGTGCAGACAGGCTGGGGACAGTACAACCAGATTGAATTGCCTCAGACAAGAACCTTGATCAAAGCCCTTAAATCTTGCTGGACCACATCTGGAACTTGGCTTTTCACTTTATTTTAGTCTTTACACAGGCAAATCTCTCACTGAAGTCAGGAAGGATCTTCCTGTCTGCAGTATGAATAAACACAGGATTAGGACTTGACTTTTCATTTTTACTGACCTATATTGAGTCCATTTTTGTGCTGTACTAAGTACCGTTGCGTGCCACTCATTCACACTTGGTTTCTGAGTCATTCCTAACTAATTTTGTGAGCTGGTGGGTAGTACATACCTTCACACTCAGCCCTTCCAGTTAACTGCACGGTACTTTGTTTTCAAGTTTGTCTTATTTTTCTAAGCTACTGTGTTCTGGCTGTGCAGGATAAGGCCAAGGATGTCTGGGGTTGCACCAATCTGAGAGCTCTAGCTTCAGCTTCACACTAAATCCAAATAAATCCTGATCTATCCAAGTACTGCCACTGCTTGAAGATGCTGCCCTCAATGACAGACAATTCCTATTATTTAATCACAGCAAAAATCAACAGAAGACACGTAAGAGGCTTCTTCAGATAAGAGATACTTCTCTTGTCACTCTCTCAGTCTGTACAGCCTCTGTTCACACAGATGAAGGAGACCACCCCAATCTTCAGCCCACAGCATGACACATCCCATATGCCCATGGAGTGTTTTCAGTTCTTCCTCTGAAACTGTCCCTCAGCCTTACCGTGAAGCCCGTGTGTTAAGGGTATTTCCACTATGTGCAGCTCCTATCCACCTCTTATCCTCTCCTACCCTACCAGTCCAGCCTCCCCACTGTCCACCCCTCCTTCCCAGGCAGTGCTCAGCTAAAGAGGCTGCACAGATGGGACACACAGCAGCTTGGCCTCTCACTTATTTTCTGATGAACTGTGGGAGCGAATTTGCCCTGCAAAGTCTCCTGCAAGTCTAAATGTGATGGACGTGCCCTTGCACGCATTGGCAGACACAGGTTTCCACAGTGCAGCATCAGGTTCCAGCAAAGCTGGTTTGAGCATATTTGGGAGTCTTGCTTCATACCAGGAGGGCCAGCTTTCAGCAGCTGCCAGAGTTGATGTCAGGCTTCACACATAATAGAGTTTTCAGGTCTTCCTCAGCTCCTCTCTTCTCCTTTCACAGATATCCCGTAGACTTTGCACCAGGAAGGGATGATAACCACCAACTATTTAGGGACAACACACCCACCTTTGATTGTATTTTCTACTTCCCTGTTCTCACTGGGACTAAACAAGGACAAAGCATCTCTGTACCTTTGATCTATGCCTATATAATAGAAAATCTTTTTTTAGTGAAAGGCCCGAACCTCCACTCCAGCTGTGACATGCAGCCTGGGCGCAGCAGTAAGGCAATGCACTATGTCTCTGTTTGCATTTCCCTTTCTTTTCCTTACTGGCCTTTCTCAGCAACTGCCTCACCCTAAAGAAACATTTACTGCCTCACGTAGCTTTTTTATAAGAACCTGTTCTATAGGTTTTATGGCTAACATGGCCTTAAGTTACCAACTAAAGTAAACCTCAGTCCCGTGGCTTTCACTGTCTAATACACGTTCTAAGGTTTGTTATATTGCTGAGTTTCCTTCCAGTTTCTGCCCAGTGTCCCTTTTATGTAGCTAGAATAGCTATTGGTGCAACCTTCCTTGTGCCTCCAGTGAAGACAAGACTGCAGTGCAGGAGGACAAGGACTAATGGTCCCTGCTGTGGGACTGAGAGCTGGAGGACAGCTGTTCTCCTCCTGGCTCTATAAAGAAGACTCAAATCACCATGTGGCTGTCAACATATGCCAAGTCTCATCTCCCAAAGATCTAAGCACCACAACGAAGCACAGACATACCAAACACTTCCGTTTTTTGCTTGTGCACAGGTCAAATTAAATACCTGAGGGTGGGAAGACATATTGAGGGTGAACTGTGGCTGCAGGACACAGAAATTACTCTGTCCAGAAAACATCAGCATGCTGAGAAAGAACTAAGACTAACAGCTGCTGTTCCCAAGCACCTCAGGGCAGGCTCCAGTGTTCACACAGTCTTGGTCCCGGTGGACCACATCCCAGTTCTCAGCAGCACAACCCCACTGTGTTCAGACAAATGTGGAAGTGAGGAAAGGGCCTGGATTTGACGGTTGCAGTGGACTACAGTACTAGAAGAGCTAACTTTCAGGAGAATCATGCATATGTAGATGGGAGGGTACCAAGAGACTATCTCCCTTTTTTGCATCTGCAGATGCACACGGGAATCTATAGCATGGGATCTGAAGTAATTTATGAGCAAGGTTAGTCCTTTTCATACTCCATTGTAATGTGGGTTTAATAGAACTTTTACCTGTTGGAAATAAGCAGCCCAGGACATGATGTTAGGGCAGTGCTTGCATCACCACTTAAAGTCTTTTAGTACCCCACCAGACACTCACCTCTTCAAGGCTTCGCTGGACAGTTTTCTAGATTTCTTTAGCCTCAGTCTACACTGGACTCAAGAAATCATGAGCCACAGCTGACTAAATTGAGGTGTAGGATTATTGAAATTCACTGCCAAGTTGCAAGAGATTATATTGAGCTGACTTTTTGGCTGCCTCCACATTTACAACTAATCAAAAGACTCATGGAAAACCTACAGAGCTCCTCTTATTTTGGGTTATTTGCAAATCCTTGGGCATGTAAGCAATCAGCTGGGAAGCAGTGACACTCAAAGTCAGGCTTACAAATAGCTTTTCACAGAAGTAGGCTTAGAACCAAAAGAGTTGCTTGTTCTCTCTACGCTAACATCATTGTACATCTCCCTCCTGCTTCCCTGCCCCACTGCTGCAGAGAGCCTACATTGCAATCATTCAATTAATGATCACAAATCTGTACGTAGTGGCAGTACCCACCCTAGTACTCTACTGGCAGGTTCTGTGCAAATCAAATGCGCTTTCCCAGGCTCAAATCAGACTTGATAAGGTATTGGTGCTGCATAGTCCTTTACATATATTAACTACAGTGCATTTCATCTTCAGGACACATGCAGCAGCTCTGTACCTATGAAGTCTCTAACCTGTGTTAGTTGATTCATGGATGACAGGTGACCACTGAAAACCATCCAGTTCATGTTGCCAACATATAAGCTACATTAAGATCTTTAGTCAAAGCTGTTGGCAAGTCAGACTTTCTATCTCACAAGAAATTACATGTTCTTAATCTAATAATTACATGCTCTTAAATGTTGAGTTTTCCCAGTTCTTATCGAGAAAATACTTGAGATGTTCCTAAATGAAAACATGATTCAGAGGAGCTCCTAAATAAAATTCAAGGATAAATTTCACCACTAGAATTCAGATATGCAGAGGACAAAAATTTAACAATTTTGCTATCAGTTGGCAGCTGCAAATGCTTTGAAAGAATGCAGCTTCAGGATCACCTCAAGGAGGAGACGACTCTGCAGCCAGGCAGTACACGTCTAGCAACTGAGCTAGCCCTCCTCTGCACACAGTGTCAGCAAATGGCCCACAAGCTTTCGAACTCAAGTTGCCAAAGGGGCTGCCTGGCACCGTAGGCTGGCAGACCTGGGTCACAGCCAACCTGTGTCATGATGCTTCTTGGAGTCACTGACTTCATGGGACAGTGTGAACCTAAGTAGGCTGTTAAGGAGCTGGAAATAAAGCTGTCAGGAAGCCAAAAAGGCCTGATTCAAGACCTTCCTGACAGAGAGGATTTCGCTGTGAGAGCTGAGGAACTGACACATTTCCCTTCCTGTTTTACTTTAAATGGAGACATGTTTCCAACAGAAAACTGCCCCCAGGTTCTGTTATCAAAATGCCTTGGAGCCCAATCCTGCAAATGCTTTGACTCACAAATAGTTTTCTGGAAGTGTGTAAAGTCACTGTGTTATGCTCTTCCAGCATTAGACCTCCTTCAACTGCCCATCTGCAGGGTTGACTCCAAAGGCAGAGCTCCCTATGGTTGACTCTGTAATGAAACATCTCTCACAGCTCATCTGGCACATTTGCCTTGTTTGCAGAGTCATAGCTAGTGTGCAGCCACATCACCCCCTTGAAACAACTTTCAAGACACGAAGCAGATGCAGCTACATCTGTGACTACATCTGCATGAAACAACATATGCTGGTTACTTACAGCATATTCAAACTGCAGATTAAAATCCCGGTTATTTGCTTGAAGTTGTCTCTCTTCCTCTGTAAAGAAGAGGAAACACATCAGACATGCTTGAAGGTAAGCAGAGTCAATACAGATATGAATGATCAGAAATCACAAGCTGAGCTGCTAGAAGGTAATGCCATCATGAATCTGTGCTCCAGGCTATCCACCCCATGTCAAGGAATTGAAGAGGTTGGTGACAGTGACAGAGCAGTGCTGTGGACTGGTACCAGAGCACTCTAAGCCCATGCTCCAGGTCTCCGCTACCCACAACCCACTGCAATGCCAGCACTGGTTTTACAGGTTGTCCACCTTGTCTCCCAGGTAAGAATTACCACTTAACTGGTGGTGCTCACTATTCCTGCACAGCTCCATCACTTCCCCCTGAAAGTCTCTGGAGCTGTTGCCTTCAGCCTACTGTTAGTGCCCTTCCTTCAGTACAAGTGCACCTTGTAGCATCATCCCCCAGATGGGACATCATCACTATAATGAAATCAAAAACTACTGGAAGGGATTTCAAAGGGTCATCAAATCTATCCTCTACCTCAAGACAGGGTTTTGCCTGTCACTCCCAATAAATGTCCTAGAAAGCTCCAATGATGGCTGTTCTTCTGACTGCTTATTCCAGGATTGCAGTGTCCTTCTCCTGGAAGAGTTTATTCCCCACTATCTAACATAAAATTCATTACTTCAATTTAAAGAAATTGTATCTTCTCCTGGGATGGTCAAAAGTGTTCTTCTGCTCCCCCTCAGTTCCTTGTGCTACTTGCCAAGGATACAGAGCACAGACGAGTTCGTTATGTGTTGAAGGCTGTTATGCCTTACTGTAGTCTTCCCTTCCCAAGGGTAAGTGTCTTGGTTTGGGCTGAAATAGAGTTAATATTCCTTTTCAGGGACTAGACGAGTGCTGTGTTTTGGATTTAGCTTTGGGTTTGGTATGGGAAGAATGCTGACAGCACACTGATGTTTTCAGCTGCTACCGAGACTTCCAGGACTCCCCGACTCCCCATGTCCTGCCCGTGCGCCAGGGCACAGGGAGCAGGGAGGGAGCACGGCCACAGCACCTGACCCAAACTGGCCCGTGAAATATTCCATACCATGGCACGTCATGCTCGCTATAGAGAGGAGGGGGGTTGGGAAGGGGCTCTCTCTCTCTCACTCTCTCTCTCTCTCACCTCCGGGATTGCGACTGTGGGATCTTGGTATCTGGGGGTCGCTGGCCGGGAACGGGCTGGGGATTGGTCAGCGGGTGGTGAGCAATTACACTGTACAGTGCCTGTTTATATATTTCTTTTTGTTTTCCCCCCTATCATCGTCATTGTTCTCGTTTTATTGCCATTATTAAACTGTTCTTATCTCAGCCTGCGAGTCTCCCTTCACCCCTCTAATCCCCTCTCCAATTCCCAGGTGGGGAAGGGGAAGGGAGGGTGACCACCTGCCGGGGTTGGTTGCCCACCAGGCTCAAACCACAACAGTAAGCAACTCCAGTTTTTTAAGTCTCTTCTTATGGGTCCATCTATCAGAAGCATCATCACTCTTGCTGCTCTCCAGTGGGCTTCCCAGCTAGTTCACCTTATTCTGGATGCACAGCAGCCAAAATGGGCCTTAGTTTGCAGCTGAGGCCTTACCAAAGCTGACCAGAGCAGAAGGGACACACCACCTATCTTGTAGACAAATGCATATTTGACATGGTAATTCACCTAGAAGTAGTTTAAAATATCCTTATGCACCACCAGCGTGCAGCTGACAGCATTCCAGAATATGATCCATTTTGGCAGATCCTTTCTGGCAGCACCAATGCCTCATCAGGCAATGCAAATCTTTCATTTGTCCTTGCTGAACTGCATCCAAATTTTTTCAGACTATTCCTCCAACTAGTCAATTCTAATCCTATCTTTCAGTGCGCTTGTTGCTCCTGCCAGCGTGGTGCCATTCACAGATTTACTAAGTGTGTTCTTCATTCTGCCAGCCAAGATCTAGAAGAAAATATTGAATACCAGACTCAGGATATATCCCTGAGGAATCTCTCAAATTTCATAATCAGTCATTGATAACTATTGTCAGTGTATTTTTTTTTTTTTTTCTGAAAAGTCTGGCACTCATTGTATGGTGATTTTATCTTGAGCATGTATCTCCAGTCTACTTGTAAAAACGCCATAAGTGACAGTCAGGATACATGACAGCTATCTAAGGCTTTTTCACTAGCCCTCTGGCTACCACTAATAGAATTAATTTTATTTTGATTAAGTTTTTCAGGACTGCTGACTGTTAATCGTCTCTTCTCCCCACACATACTTCTAGTTACTCTGAAGTGGTTTGTTGGATTCTTTTAACCTTTACCCAAGAAATTAAACCAAGATAGCTATAATCACTCAGCTTTTCTTTTTCCTCTGTTTCAAGACAGATGCTATGCTTGCTTTTCTCTCAGTCTTCTGAACTTTGTCTGTCCATGCACCGGAAACTCTCAAAGGCAGCATTGCTCCAGGCCATGCTCTACCTTATTAGACAACCCATTCCTTCTCTATTATAGCCCAAAACCTCCCCCCTTGTCCTCTGTTTCTGGAAACTATTATGTTAGATGTCTAAAGAAAAAACAAAACAAACCAAAAAAAAACCCACAACCCAGATTTCTTAGCATTATTTGCTAGGCTTTTTTCACTGAGTAGCAGACATAAACAGTCTCTGATCTCCCTCTTTCTAGAAGGGTTACAGAACCCCAGAGATCCCAACTCTTACAGAACAACTTTTATTGCCCTTTATGTCCTTGTTAGCTTTTTCTCACTTTGAGCCTTTGCCACAGAGTTTGTGCTGGGTAAAATAAGCTGCTTTGCACCTTCTAGAGGCACCCTTCCGCCTCCTGAAGTGAATAAGGAGCTTGTGTCTTTGCTATTTCACTCACCCTTCTGAGCATTTCCCTGAAAGATGATAGCTTATTATACCTGTGCCCCTAGTATCAATTATTTAAGGAAATGACAGCTCTGCTTAATTCTCCCTCCATCCCAAATTTCCTTCCCATGAGATCTCAGTTACTAGCTCTTCATATTTACTGAATATTTCCTTCTTGAAGTCCATTTCAAACACTTCGCTATTGTCACTTTTTCCAAAGTATCATACTGTCATTTCATAACCATTCCCGTTTACATGCCTTCCTGCTTTCACAGGACCAGCCAGCTCCTCCCTGTTGGAGGGAATCAGTTCTGGAACAATCTCCTCTCTAGATCAAAAAAAATTATGCACCTCTGCACAAAGATGCTGTGCCAGCTGAACAGGTCACCTTCCCCTATGCTCCTCTCCAACTCTGCCTCTGCATAGCTAGAATTCTTTATTTATCACTGGGCTCTGTCTCTCAGAAAACTTCTTTTTCTTTTTTTTTCACAAAAAACTGCCCTTCTTGGTTAACTATGCCTGTGTTCTTTACCCCTGTTGCATTACTTAGAGATCTGTGATTTGTTCATCTCTTTTTTCAGGCTGGATCTCAGAGCACATGGACATACAAGCAAAACTTCTGTTACTCTTCCAGAATAAGCTTTCTTCTTTTCTATTAATATTCCAGACTCATGAGTTATCCCAGCACGTGTCTATTACACCTATTAAATGATGTGTTAAGACATCCAGTTCTTCCTGTTTATTCACTCTTGCATTAGCAAGCATCTAAGCTATTCAGTGCATTGAACTGCTATCCTTCCTTCTTTCCCTCCAATAACCCTATAAATAACACAGCATGCTTAATTTTCAAGCCCTTTTTCAGATCACCATTTTTTTTTTTTTTGTCTGTCTGTGGGCTGTTTTCATCAAGCCCTCTAATTTCTAATGTAAAGCTATGTTAGCAGGCAAATGTTCTTTTCCCTTTCTTCAGGCACATTTAGCTGTGTCAGGCATTTTTGAACCAGCTCCCATCTGCCCCAACTGGGTGATTCAGACCAACCACGGCGGTTTCATTCAAGACCCTCGAAGTACTTAATCCTTCACTGCTTTCCTCAAACACATTTTTCTCATCTTTCACAATGGGGAGAACAATGTACAGAGAGATCAGAGTAACTTGTCTGGTGTCCCAGAGGAAAACAGAAGCAAAGCTCAAGAGGTCCAAGCTTGCAGGGCTTCAACTATTGTGTTATGTGTTCCTTCAGGAATTTTCCTGAGAGCAACCAGTATTATCAAAGCAGACAAAAGATAAAGCTACTTGTTAAAAACAGAACTTCCCAACACTCACACGTTTCCTCCCGTATAATAAGTGATACTCTCATCTCCTCCCCAGGGGCTCCAAGTCTAGTCCTGGAATAAATGCCACAGAAAAAGATAAACAGCTTTAATGTAAATAAGAATAGATGACAAAGCTTGAAAGCCTGACGGGATACAGAGGCAGGCTGGCAGAGCCCATGCTGGTCCCTGGTGGAGGATCCACCCCACGCTGACACGGAGCAGTGTGAGCAAACCACGGTGAAGTGGGAGGCTGAACACTCGTGGGGGGACAATGTTGTCCGTGCTGCTCACAGGCAGCAGGTCTGACCAGTTGCCTCACCAGAAGGAGCTACGGACATGCATGATGGATGGAGAGGCACGAAGACATCCAGAACGGCTGATCTGGACCGGAGCCCTTTGGGTGTCTATTCCCTCGCCAGCATATGAGATGCATGTCAGAGCCACGGCGGCACATGGCAGCTTCTGAGAGGCTCTAAAGTCCTCAGTGACTTTTTGTTTTTTTTGTAGGCAGGGCAGCCCTTGAGGCGACACACTGTGAGCTCCTTTGCTCTTCCCAGGGCTCACTGGGGGAGTGAGGAGATGTCCCCCTTCCTCAGCCTGCCCCCAGGGTTCCTGCAGCCGGGGAAGAAGCACTTGACATGTGCATTTGAATTTAGGGATCTCAAATGTTCCTGGAAAGAAACCACGTGTGTGTCTGCTCCAGTGGGAAAAGGAGCCTGGCTGCACAGCACAGGGAGAGATGCACTCTCCAAGAGGAATGGCTTTTATGTGAAATAGCTGCAAGCAGCTTAGGGATGGCACAGAAACATGAAGAAGTGGGACGTGAAACAGAACAGCA